TGTCTTTGGGGACTGAACCTAATGTCGTTTCTCTAATGTTACCTTCCCATCTCTTCTTGACACCATCACATTGTTTACTATGTCTAGATGCTCACTTACTTTCTGGCCAGGTGGTGTCTATGAAAAAAATGGAACTTGGTGATTGATGCAGTTTAGCATAATCTCTTTTTCTGTCTACGGGAACCTCTTGCCTTGTGCCATTAGACTAGTTCCTGATGTCACCTAATGTGCTCCTTGAGGCCAACAGTTCTTCTGCAGGGGCTTATGCAGGCTGGGAACAGCTGAGAGCAGTGTGTTCAGCAGCTTCAGGCTTGCTTCATCTCACTCCTATTAGAAATGTGTGTGCAGAATGGACACAAAGAAAGGCCCTTAATATAAAGCATTTATTTGTTTTTTTTTTAACATCCAAAACTTCAGTGGGGCCCTGTGTGCTGTACTGTGCAATCACAGAATCATAGAAATGGTGTTTTGAAGGGATCTCTGGGTATAGTAAGTTACTTCTTATGCCAAACTGGAAGGCTGCCAAGGGTCCAAGAAATAGCTAGGAAAGAAAAGACCTAAGGGAAAATGAAAATAATTGTCAATCCTTCACATAAGAGTTCATTACAAATGAATGCTGGAGAGTTTCTGTGTTGCAACCTCTATAGATGAGGAGCCTGAAGAGGCATCTCAGAATGAAGTGTCAGGTGAAGTGACTTAGAATAAATCAGGTTTTCCAAAGAATCAATTCAGGGCCAGATGTTATTAACTTCAGGGCTCTCAAAGATCTCAGATAGAAAATTGCTGAGCTACTAACTGTGATGTATTACACACTTTAAAACTGACTTTAGAACTAAAATAATACATGGCAGTTGGGAACCTCATTTTTTTTTTTTTTTTTAAAAAAAGAAGAGGCTGAGGAAAGGGACCTACTGACAGGTAATTCTGATTTTTCAGTAAGCCAGGGGAGTGAAAGAGCAGAATGGACAGACAGGTGGTGAGTGTTCCAGAATGAACTGACCCAGCATTTCAGAGGTCACTGGGGGAGCTGATGAGCATGTGCAAAAAAGTGATCCAGCTGAGAGACAGTTTGTATAAGTTCTGAAAAACCTCACTAAAAGCTTTTAACAAAACCAAAGTATAATGATATTAAACATTTATGTCCTGAAAGGGTTGTCAGGCACTGGGACAGGCTGCCCAGGGAAGAAGTCAAGTCACAATCCCTGGAGATACTTAAAAGATGTGTAGGTGTGGTGCTTAGGAACATGGTTTAGTGGTGGACTTGGCAGTGCTGGGTTAGCGGTTGAACTTGATGATCTTAAAGGTCTCTTCCAATCAAAAAAAATTCTATGATTCTATGGTAAAGGGAAAAAAAATAATAATTCATTAACTAACAACTGAATGAAAGGCAAGAAACAAACAGTGGAAATAACTAGTAAGTGGAAAGGAGGTTGGTAATATCCCAGAAAGTTGCTGTTCCATTTTGTCATTCATTTCTTGTAAGAGAGGCATGCAGTGAAGTAACAATGTTTATAAAAACACAATTATTCAAAATAGTCAGAGCTAGGCCAAATGTGACAAAGCTCATGGTGTTGGGTGACTGGGGGATCAAATGACTGATGACTTGCAAAGCTGATATATACAAATAATTTGTGCATGCAGAGAAAAAAAATCCCAACAACATACGTACAACATTGGGCAGCAAGTTGGCTGTTACTGATCAGGCAAAAGATCTTAAGACTCATCATGGGCAATCCCCCTGAAAACATCCATGCAGTGCTCAAGAGTGTTCAAAATGGAAATGAGCACGGCAGGGAAGAAACACTTGACAAGTTATACAATAAAATCTGTAAAATCATAACCAACATGGAGAAGAGAATAAAAATAGTCATGATTATTCCTTACTGAATAGTCATACTCTTATCACCTTGCTCAAATGTTGTACTGAATGACCATTATTCATTTTTTTTGTTCCCCAGATATTAGAAATAGTTTACCACAGGACTCCTATCTAGAGGATATTTTAGATAACAACCTCTATCAATTTATAGGTGGAGGAATTTGTCCAGTCACTCCAAAAAGAAAAAATCACCAAAGCCTTTTAAAAGTTATGAGTACTTCTACAAGAACAGAGAAAATGTGCCTGGCAACATTGTCAGGACACCAAGACCTTCTGGGACAAACCAGCTTGCATTTAAGCCAGTAAATTCTTTTAGCCTCCAAAATTGTACAGAAGCACACAGGTCAGCAGGGAGCCAGCAGTAACACTAGGCTCTGCTCTGCCACCAGGATTAGCAGTACATGTGCCCAGGCCCTTTAATTTAATAGGAAAGAGCCTGTGAAGCCTGTCTGCCAGGAGCTGGAATGAGGAAGTTTCCTTCTGCTCACCCTGACTTTCTGCTGTTGGAGACAGGCTCCTGTGCTGGCTGGCTCCTGGAGCAGAGCTCCTATGGTGAGTTCTTAGCACAAGAGGGATGTGTATGGTTTGGAGTAAAACCATATTCAGCCCATATGCATTTAAAATGTCTTTAAAAATAATGAGCTCTTGGGATTTCAGCTTTTTTTTTTTTTTTTTTTTTTAAAAAAAAAGTAAACCATGTTAGTTACAGCAGTCAGGTAATTAATCTGAGAATCTTCAAGGCAGTTGTGTTCACACTGGTTGATTGCATGGCATTTTTTAAAGCTGTTGTTAATATATAGCATAACATGATAATCGATGTGTATTTGAATACAGTATATTGCAAACATAAAAGGAACAAAAACGTTTATTAAAGGTTGACAGTGGAAATACAGAAGGTTTGCAATATGGTACTTACTGCAAAGCACTACCAAGGAACGTTCAAGCTTTCTGGAAAAAAATGAGATGTTTAACTTGTTTTTGCTAATGCTCTGCTAATAAAATTTGCTTTCTCATATCCTTAGACCATCAAGGCTACAACAACATTACTACTGCTAAAATATTTACAGTTAGGTTGCTCAGTTAGACTGTGGAAACTAAAAATACCTTTAAAATATTAGTCTGTTTGTTGGCAAGTCATAGAATTTTCCTGTGAGCTTCACTCCATTGTAATTACAGAAGAAATATTGGTTTCAATTGATTATGTAAATCCTGTGGAAGCTCATGAACTTTTGACTGCTCATGAAAGTATGTTTTTAAGTTTCATTAAACATACTTCATTGAACATCAGTTAACACCTCAAATAGTCATTCAGTGCATTTCAGTTTTGTGAGATTGTTGTACATGAGCATGGCATGAGTAAGGACCTCTCACGGTAATGACATTGTATGTTATCAATCTGTTTGCATTTCTGGTCTATTCTCTGTTCTTTTTGTCATCTAAATAATACTACAGTGTAGTGGAAAACAATATGCCAAGTTCTTGAGTGCCTATCTTATAATGTTTAAAAATAAGATGCAAAACCTCTCAGAATGGTGACAACTCTGTTTTAAACTTTAATGATGACTATAAGGAGAATGTGCTAAACTAATACAAAATTAAATATTATAATCCCTATAACAGTACAGTGGAGTTTTCAACACAAAACATGTAAGGCACTTCTGCTTTATCTAGTTTCATATTCTGATGACATATAGGACTACATAGTTAGCTGCAAGACAGTGATGAAACTCAAATATTACTTTTATTTACAACTTGCAAGTATTTGGCCTTCATTCTTTATTACATAGTCCAATGCAGAAGCAAACAATTTCACATTAAAAGCATATTGTGCCATAGATTGTAACAATTAAAATTAGAAATACAGTGTAGCTGCAAAAATAAAAAGAAAAAAACCCCACAACCTTGTTCCATACAGTTTTATTTTAGAATACACTTAAATGTATCAAAGTACATTTTCTCCTGGTTAACTTACTGACAATTATTTACAAAGCAAGTAACAAAGAATGGCTAGAAAATACCATTGCACCACAAATTATCTACATGGATGTTTCTATTTTTCATACTAGAAAAGAGCTAAGGTGGCATTTATTTCAGTACAATGTTTCTTTCATAAATCTTACTGTGTTTCAGCAGCTAATACAAAACGGAGAAGCAGACTGTGTTATGTTAGAAAACCAAATGTATTAAGAGTTTGGTTAAGAAAAAAAATAGATGCCTAGCAAAATGTAGGTTTTTTCTTAAAAAAAAAAAAAAGTAAAATCTAAAGCATTAACTGCTCCAAGTACTCACATAGAGACTGTTGATGACTTACAAATTCAAAATGGTGTTGATAGGGCCGTTGAAATTTGACAAACTACTTGAAAGAGAAGTCATCATCAGTCTGTGCTAGCCGTAATAGGCTTATGGCTAGATTTCTATTCACAAAGGAATTTAGGTTAATAGAGTCTGTGCTGTTTTGTGGGTCATTTGACAACTAATAATAACATGGAATAGTTTCATTTACTCATCTATTTCAGAAGTAATAGCTCATTGTTTTAAATCTGTTTTTCCATGAGAAAGAGAAGCAGAAGCTGAAGCTTGGAGTTTTGTTTTTTGTTAAATGAGCACTGAAAGGAGTATTTTCCCTTTGGAATTGTGGGACATGCACTCCTTTTATGAGAAGACTTCTTGAACTACAAATACGTTGTTCTAGATGATCTTGGGAGACCAGCACACAAAAATAACCTGCACAGTAAACACCTCTACAAATAAACTTTAAGAGTAAATCAAGTACGCAGTAGTATTTCAACTTCATTTTGTGGTACATGCCATCATTAAAAATTCACATTCATTAGTCAAACTATAGCTGCCTAGCCTTTGAATTTTCATTTCCAACCTGTTCAACACCACTGTAACTTGTCAAGAGCATGTCAGATTGCTATAGGTACAGTAGCTTTGTTTGTGGCTAATGTATGTATTCCTGGTAAACATGACTCTTTTGAACACTGCAACCTGGCAAGACCCCGTACCTCTTGGCTTTGCAGGCTGTTAAGTTTCATGCTTCTGTTATGCTTAATGTAGAAGTGCTGCAGAAGCAAATTTTGACACACAGTGAAAGCAGGCACTTTCCTCTGTGGTATTTTTTTGAGGGAAAGCGTATCCTACACATTCCCATCACATACTGCCCAGACACACCGTGGCACTGCTGTGCAATTGCTTTGAGAGCTATGCGGCAGGAGAGCCTGTCACGGCAGTGGAGTAGTTGCAGCTTCTTGAAGTTCCAACTGAAAGGAAAGAAATTGCAAATGCAATGAACAATTACTTGGTTTCTTCCCACCCACAAGTGTGCATTTGTTTGTATGTGTGGGGTTTGCTTTTTTTTATTAAGAAGAATTTACTTCTCATTTGCAGTTACTCTCCTGCCGTATAAAGCTAAACAGCTAGTCCAGAGAGTAAGGCAAGACTAGGCCTTTGACATGAAACAACAAAGGCAAGGAAATGATCAAAGTCTTGTTTCCGACCTTCGAAGACAAAGAATCAGTAGTAGATCTGAAGTTTGAATTAGAATATATTTAATACAAAGCCAATTCTCTTTCTAGAGAGAAACGCTCTGTGTTCCACAAATACGAAAGGATTTTGTTCCCTACCTGTATTCCTTTTGTAGCAATTGCAGGGGAGTATTTTAGATAATACCTTCTGTGCTTGGCTGACTTTTGGACTAGTTAAAGAGGAGGCTGCTAGGACTTCTGAAGATAAATTTCTCAAAGGCCAGAACATAACTCAAATGCTTGTTCAATGTAACATGCTATATTTAGAGTTTTTCTTTATTCTGTATTAGGAATATTTCTCCTCAGTTCCATTTGGCCAGAAACTGACCTGATCCTAAACACGTCTTTTAGAGAAATCTAGATCCAGAAATAATTTTGAATTATTAATTTATTTTCATGGATTAAATACAATAGAAGCATTTGTTTTGCATTTTTTTTACCAATGAACTTTTCCTACTATATTAAGGAAAAAAAAAATTGAGATGTTTTGTTCCCTATTTATTCTAATTCACAGTTGAAGGAGTGCCACAAGCACAGGCAACCATGGAAACCATCCTATGAATTCTGGCCCACATAGCATACTTTATTTGTGTTTCCTTTCATGAAATAGTGTGACAAAGACATTTTGTTTCCTCTGCTACCTAGAAGATTCACCAAGGGCCCATGTCAGTGCAAATCAGTTACAAAAGAAAACCCAGTTTTAAAGACTTATTGACTTTAGACAAGCTTTTAATAGATGTCATTATCTTGACAGAAATTTGCTTTACAAGAAATCAATACTTTATAATTATTATTGAAATAAATTATTATTTACAAAGGAGGCATGTTGATTTTCTAAAAAATAGTTAAATATTGAAACTAGCTTTCAGTTTTTTCTTTAATCCAATATCCTTTCTATTTCTACACGTGGCTGCCAATCCAAGCAGTAAGGGCAAAGCTTTCAGGGCTGAGCAGAAGTATCAGGGCTACTGAACATATCTAAAGCCTCATTTTCAGCATATGAGGAAGATCTGCAGCTTCTGTTTGGTACTTAAACACTTCAGTGGCTAAGAAGACAGCATCAGAAGCTAAAAGTAAAGTAAAATAAAGTTCCTAGGATGACTAAATAGTCCTGAAAATATGCCTATACATAATTTGCTTAGTTGCCTGGATACATTCAGGTGAGGCTGCTATAAAAACTTGCATGGGTAGCAAAGAAACTAAATGAAACAAATTAAAATGCTCATATTTCTACAGTGATTAGTAATTGTTTTCCTAAGTATTTTGATATTTTTTTTTTAATTCACAGATATTAAAAAAATAAAAGGTATTTGGAAAACACAGTTTTCAGGGAGTATTAGCAAATTATTCAATTCAATTTATCCAATCAATTATCAGTGAATTTTACATTTTAAAAAAACATTAAGACTTTTTTTTAGTCTCAGAAATAAATTAATGCAGAAAGTCTCTGTGCATCTGAAATAAAAGCTATTTCAAAGCACTCATCAAGGCCTTTGTTATTAATCAGGTTCACGGCAATGACACAAAAAAAACCTCAGCTAAAATGTAGTGTTTGGTCCTTTATCACCTTCTTTGCAAGCAGTTTTTCCGGAATTCCATCACTTCTAGTCTCATTTTCACTTAATGCAAATACATTTACAAGGTTGCATACACCCCTCTGAAAATTAAGTTGAACCAAGCCCTTAAGCTCACTTTGGAACAAATGTAGCCTCTACATTTTACCACAGGAGCTAGCTGAGTGTAACACAGGATATTTCCCCCACAGACATGAAACATCTCAGCCTTACAATTCTTCCAGGGTTTGGATGCCTGATTTGCCTTTGTCTTTTCTCCCTCAGAACTATGTTGCTGCACTGAGCATGTACGATTTCTACAAATACTCACATCAATGTCTTGGATCAGATTCTACTTTGTGCACTTGAAAGCTGCATTTCTGTAGAAGGTCTGAACTTGTTCCACTCTTCCACTTTTTGTAAATGCTGATTAAAAAAAAAATCAGACCTCTAATCTAGAAGAATTTTTTTGGTAATGCCAAAGAGCCATAGAGTAGGCCAAAGACCAGTATCTCAACTCAGAATAATATGAATATTTGTGATGTCTCGTTACTGTCTTTGTAATGATAGAAAACACAGTTGTTCCTCCTGCTTGTGAATGCTCATTTTAAAGTGTTTTAAGAGTGTAAGACCCTAAGCTGTTGCGTGATTGAGTGCTTGCAGTTCTCATTAACTTTAGCAGTAAAGAATTTTCACTTGGCAAAAAAAGCAACTTGTAGAACATCTGTTTCTTCAAAAAAGATTTACAATGCTAAATTCTTTGCAATTAAGATTCGTATCAAATATTCTCCAAGGCATTTTCTTTACAAGAAAGAACTTACTTAGTTCAATATAGATATACTAGTAAGATGTGCAGAAACCACTCACCTGTGAAAAGAATGCCCTGTCAGTAGAAGTTACAAAAGCTTACTGTTTGAACAAACAGTGAGCTGTTTGGGGTTTTTATTTTTTAAAAAATTTGTCTCTTTTAGTTTACTTTTCTGAGAGCAAAATGTGCATTCACCCTAGGGCTTTCTCTGTCTAAACAACAATAATAATAATTAAAAAAAAATAAAAATGTTACTCTGGCAAGTACTATTCCAGAGAACCTTTAAAGTGTGTTAGTCTTATAACCTTGTCTTTCACTCTGATAGCAGCAGACAAGAAAAATGTTGTCTCTTAGAGAAATGTTTGGTGGAGAAAAAAAATAAATGGAGTATAATATTTAGGTTTGAATTTGGCTTTGTGCGAACATATTCTGTAGACGCTGTGGAGAGTGAGAAAGGCTGCACCTGACAGCTGGTGGGCTGTACTCTAGAGAGTGCAGCAGTGAGAAGGCTCAGGTCCAGTGAGCACATCTGGCAGAAATAAACTAGTCGCAGAAGCAGCAGCAGCTGCCAAAGCAAGGACTGCAGGGATGGTGGTGAGGGAAGTGGAACCGGGCCACTGAAAGGTATGGCCACTTCAAATTCTTCCAAATACCAGACCATGCAAAGAGACCTATCCACCAATCTATGAGAACATGAGCTTCCAAGTGTAGTCTTCTTCTCCCTGGCCCTGAGGAAAGCTAGTTGCTAGGAACCGCAGTAGTCAAAGCCGGGTAGTCAAACAATTTCTTACAGCTCTGCATACTCCTTTTTTGTTCTGTGCAATCTCTTTCCTTCAGTTTCCTTCCTTGCTGCCTGACCTGAACTCTCACTCCTGATGTTCCCCTTTCTTCTCTGCCCTCTTCCTTTCACCTCCCTTTCCCTTCAGCATCATCCCCTTCTCTTCTCTTCTCTTTACATGTTCAAATTATCTGCCATGGATTTTCCTCCTCATTGCCACTATAAAGCTCAATTCCCTTGTTTGGTCTATCCCTGCCTCAATGGCTCTCTTACACCTTGTTGGTGTAAGCTGAAAGATCTTTGTGGAAATGATCATCGTGTATTCTGTGTTTGTTAAGCGCCCAGGACTTTATTTCACTTAGCCTCTGGCCAGTACCACATCGATATTTGTTAAGGACAGAATTTTAGAAGGCTACAGCTTTTCTACAAATAATTTGAAAAAAATATAATAAATATAGAAAATGTGTGCATATACAAGATACTGTAAAAAGCTGGAATTTTACTATAGATACAATCCTGTTGTCAGATGCATGCAGAAAACTGACTCCACTGAGGGTTACGAACGTACTATTAACAACTGAATTTGTCCATTAAATTTTTGCTACACCTAGTAAATACTACTCGTGTATACATACATACATACATACATATAAGTATGTGCCTATGCCAAGTTTGGCATTTCTGCTCTACCACCAAAGTGTGCCTAAGACTGAGCAGGTGCTAATTGATTTCACAGGCCACAGTTTATCAGGTACAAATCAGATGCTGGTGAACTACACCACCAACTGCAGATGCTTAATAAAGTTTCCCCTTCTCCCTTCAGCCTGCTCCCTCCTTCATGCAATTACTATTTTGTGTTTGGAGATGGTGATATTCTGATGTGGGCTCCTTGGCAGCAGCTGAGCGGCAGGAATGTGATTGCTTTCACAAGAAGCAGCAGACTTCTGCTCCCCGAGAAGACAGCTGTCTTGAGGCAGCAGTGAGAAACTGGTGCAGGAGCAATCCAATTATTGCTGAAAGGGGATATGGCAAGGAATGAACTAGGCTTGTGCCTTTTGCTCTTCTCTTTAATTATTTACAAAGAAGACTCAAACTTTTCCTAGCACTTGTGATGCACAAGTTACTTTCAAGAATGTTAAGACTTGCCTTCATGTTTTGCTTCATGTTCACTGAGGGATGGGGATTGGAAATTCTCAGGATTAGTCATGGGAACATGGATGTTTAATGTGTAAGAAAAGTGCCTCTTTGCAAAGGAGCCTGAATCAAAAAAGTAAAACAATCTGTTTCTTCGTGTCTGCTGTGCCATAAAATCTCTACTTCTCAAAGGCTTTCTCTACATGGAAAAGCTATACTCTCAGCATACCTTAAATGGCAAAATGGGGTGATACTCGTTAACATGTGCATGTATATATTTTTATATATATATATACATCTCAGAACCTGGCCCTAGCTAACACAAATAATTATCTGAATCAAGAACTGCATGTAGACAAGCCTTTGTCTACTTCTTGCATGTTTTCCAGGACAAATAAGGCCTTCTTTGTACATCAGCCAAAGGTGTACTGTTTCTTCTTTTTTTTTTTTTTTAATTTTTTATTCACTGTTGCAATGGGAGAAGAAGAGAGAGACATACTCTGTTCAACTCCTGTCTCCCTTAGCAGACAAGGAACACGAATAGACAAATCTGTGATTATTCAACCAGCTCTAAAGCAGTCACCTGTTGCTAGCACCTGCAAATGAAACACTTCTGTGTGCTGTGTATATGCATACACGTTGGACCCAGTCACGCGAGGTACCTTTGAAAGACCTCAAAGGTCTTCTGGGCATGTACTAGAGGAGAGAACAGCTTGCACCATGCAGGACTGGGGTCTCTGTGTATGCATAACCAGGCCTAGATTTCAAATAGCTATAAATCAGTATAAACAGTCACTTCAGAATACATGTCATCTCCAAGCTGGAGGCCTGGATCCAGAGATGACATCTCCACTGCTAGTCATACCTGATGGTTAGTCCTGTCCACAGTGTTGGCAGTGGAAGCATGGTCACGAGTGTTTTGTCGGACTCGGGTGGAGTTTTGCTGCTCAATGGTTGAGGAAGTGGGGATGCAGAACTCTCTGAAACACCTTTTGAAATTCTCATCTAGAAATGCATAAAGGACTGGATTAAGGCAGCTATTTGTATACCCTAGAGCAATACAGAAGTGCCAGGAGACAGTCTGGAAAGTAGTTTCTGGGATGTTGACCAGGGCTTTAATGATGACATAGATGTGGATGGGAGTCCAGCAGACGATGAACACCGCCACCACTACAAGCACCATCCTCGTGATTCTCCGCAGGTTCCTGTCCTTCTCTTTGGAGCCAGATAACATGCGAACGCTCTTCAGGCGTAAGATCATCAGCCCATAGCACACTGTAATGATCAGGACTGGCATGATGAAGGCAAAAATGAACACACAGATTTTCAGGAGGTTCTCCCAGTACCATGCAGGGTGGGAGAATGTAAGTGTGCAGTCAATAGAGCCTGGAGAAAAAAGAATACAGCAGAAGAGAACAAGCAGGTCAGTTTTTAGTTTACTTTTCTTTAAACCTTTTTAAATCAAGAATCATAGGCAAGTGCATGCAGATTTATTAAGTAATGAAGCAATCTGTGACATGTCATCAACAAAAACATTGATAGGACACAGCTGCAAAACAAGTATGGTGTGAGTTAGAAAAACAAAATTGCCATAATGCATTCTCTTTTGCATTGTATTGCTTGAAATTGTATGTATATTGAACAAGAACAAGCTGAATTGTCATAAATGCTTATGCATTTTCATTTTCAGTATAAAACCTGGTGAAAAGAAAGATGGTTTAACCACCATATCTGCTGAGAGTTTGGGGATTTCAGGACAATGGTGAAGAGAATGACATGACACTTGGTAACTGTGCACAATGGAGGATCTGTATTTGTGTTGAGATGCTGCCACTTCATGGAAGGTCTTTGAGTACCAGTAGTCCAGAATGTGCTCTCTACCATGTCCTGCCAGACTAGGTGCAACATACTTATGACTGCCAACTGTGTAAGTCATAAGCCTGGGTAAAGCACAGGTTTCTGTGCTGTAGGAGACTGCATAACCATCCCATAGCAGAAGGCAGGCACGGATTTCCCAAACACTACAGTAACTGTGGGGTACCAAGACTCGCACAGACCCACAGTGCTGGCTGTTGTAAAAGACAGATTATGTGCAGTGCTGTGTCCAGTCAGCTACAGCCAGGTGTAAAACTGCTGAAGGGGTCCATTGGCACTCACACCTCCTTCATATAGGTTGGAGATCAGGAGTTAATTCAGCATCTCTAGAACAGAGTGAAACAATGCAGAAGGGAGTTTCAATATCGAAATACTCAATTTAGGAATGAAAGCCACACTTACCATGCCTGTATTTAGTAGTTGCCATGAACATAACTGGCAGGCCGATGGCAGAAGAAAGAATCCAGTTGCAGATGTTGACAATTTTTGCATTTCTGGGGGTACGGAAATCAAGGGCCTTAACTGGGTGGCAGACAGCTATGTAGCGATCCACACTCATGGTGCAGAGTGTAAAGATACTAGTGAACATATTGTAGTAGTCTATGGATATAACAATCTTACAAAGGATGGTACCAAACGGCCATGTTCCCATCAAGTAATTCACACTCTGGAATGGCAGAGTACTTGTTGCTAGGGCATCTGCCAATGCAAGATTGAAAATATAGATATTGGTGGCAGTCTTCATTTTTGTGTACCTAGAAAAAAAAAAATCAGCAAAGCATGTGAATGACCACAATTGACAAGGTAAACAAAACTGAGTTCAGAGAACTCCCTGTCAGAAACTTCTGTGAAATAATGTGCTAGATATTGTCAAAGATAATTCCTGTTTTTAACCAAATGACCTTGCTATGGTTTATTTACAATAATGGCTGCAGCTCAGTGGGCATTAGCTAAAGGATATAAGAAAGTTAAGATTAATTTAACTTGTGCAGAGAGAAAGGATACATGTAGAAGAAACAATATTATAGATACTACATAATTGAGAAGCTTGGAAAAAATCAATTTGTACATATCAGACACAGTACTAAATGGATAGAATTTCTCTACCTGCTGCTGTCATGTTGAGTATCAGAACCGTGGTCTGTAGAAACAAAATAAGCTCTAAAAACAGTTTGGAGGGAGGTAAAAATACTTTCTACACACTTTTCAAGAGAATCTTGCAGAGGAGAATGAAAACAGCAATATTGTTATATTGACTTTACTATTGCCCAGGTGAAAATATTGCCATGTCTCCTGTTGTTTATAAAAAATTAGTGTCTTCTCCATAGGCCTGATGACAGATCCAGGAGTAGCTGAGGTTGCATCCACAGAGCCAAGCTACAGGTTTGATTGTGTTGTGAGCAGATACATCCAGATTGCTCCAGTCTAATTTGCTCAGGTAGCAGCAGCAGCAAAGGGGGGGGGTGGCTCTCAATTCTGCACAGGTGAGGAAAAGGTGAGGAGGATCCTGCACCCTGCTGCTGCTGATTGCCCTGTCTTGAGAGCTAGACAAGAAACTTAGGTATGCTGCTCAGTGCTGCTGCCACCATGCACGATTCTGGCCCGGTTCTGTCTGGAAAGCAAATCATCATATGGTAATGATAGTATTTTTCATCAGTAATTAAAGACATTCTTATGATTTAAAGGCAATGCTTGATACAGCAAAATCAACCAATATATAAGTGACTCTTAGGTTAGCATGCCAGAGAATGGGGTGAGAAAAGCTCTGAATAAATGGAATAAAGTGTCTCCACTAGAACTGTCATGGGCCTTATCCTACTTAAATGCTACGCATTTTTCTATTTTCTATTTTGCTGTCTTGCTCACATTTTCAGTTTAAGTTCTTGGGCTTATTTAATTTAATGGTCTCTATAGGCTATTAATGAAGGATTTTGCTTGATGTACTGTGTAACCTTTGTATTTCTAATCATGCTGTTCCTACAAAGAAAGGAAGCAGAGCTTCTGTGGTGATGAAAAATATTTACCTCCATAACTGCCTAATCAACAAAAGCCTATTGAAATTCACAGTGTTCTTTTCAGTGCATTCTATGGGATTTAGGCGTTTCTCTGTACTGAATATTTCAAGATTGTATAAAGGGCTTATTTCTGAAAGGCACATTTTGTTAAATGCGTATTTTTCCAAATAAGTAGATTATCAGTGTCCCAGGATTATTATTATTATTTTAATTTTTTTTGCTATGAAAAAATAAATACTGAAGCAATTGATTAAAGTAATTTTAAGAGCATGGAAAATAACAGTCCTTCAAAATGGAACTCTTCAACGCCTTGATCTTAGTTGTTACTATATTTTTTGCTAAGGTATCAATCTACTTATTTGAACAAGCAGCCCAAACATTTCCCTCCTACAGACATAGATGTGTATATTTCTGTACTTCAGAAGGACTGGATTTTATATGTAATCAAAGTCACATGACACTGTACATCTTATAATACTGAAAATATTGTGATAATAAATGCAATCTTTTAGCAGGCACTGTTTTCACACTTCCATTCAAAGCCACTAGAGAATCTGAAAATTAACAGATGTGTAAAGAGTCTTAAATGCAAACTCCTGAAAATCTGAATGCTGGTACTTAGATTACAGTGAAATTTCAGCATCTAAACCACTAAGTATATTAAATTTTGCAAGACAATAAGCAAGGTTGCAAATGAAAACAAAAGTTGGCTTTGGGCAACATTACTTTTATCTTTACAGCTCTGCAATGAAAGACTAATAGAGCATTGTTATGATTCAATTTTTGGTGACTATTTAGTTTGTTACTTCTCTTGATACGTATTCAAATTAATTATGCTTATAATAGTATTGACACCCACTAGTATGTCCTTTCTATCTCCTCAGTGCAGGTTTTACCTCATAAAATATCTGTGTTTATGAAGCATTTTTTTGTTGGTAGATTATCAGATTTACAACAGTAAGAATATACTTATGTCTGCTTAATTCTGTAGGGCAAACTCAGCCTAGCTTTTATCTCCAATTCAGCAAAGCTTTATAATATACTTGAAGTTTGAAGAGCTGAGCTGTAGATGTGCACTCAACTGGAATTTGCTTGGAATAAAAAAGCAATACAGAAAATAATGAGAATCCTACTCAGATAGTAGGTTCCTAGCACTCCAGTATAAATACAGTCTTGAAATTACCTCTTCAACTGGCAGCCCATGTAAATATTCACCAAATTATTGCAGAGAGACTCCTGGCACCATTGCACAAAGTGGAACAACATCTTGAGCAGGAGCCGTGAGTACCTTCCCTTTCACCTCACAGCTATGCAAAGAGAGAGATGTGAGCACGCTTGTGCCTCTCTTCCTGCTTCTGGTTTGCACACTTCAATTCTTCAGACTCCATTGCAAATTATTTTGCAGACTGCTCCTATCTGAATAGCAACAGTGAGGAGAAAAGCAGAAACAGTCTTCTGCACTTAGGGAATGAGCTGCCCAATGATAGATTGGCAATAACTACTTTCAGCAACACAAAGGCATGCAAGTGTTTGTCCACAGAATGCTAATTTGGAGACTAAGACTGCTTCAACTGTGTTTAAGTTCAATGCAAAATATATAAAAAACTGGCTTAATTACAGGAGATTCATTGCAGAAAGCAGCAGTTCATTAAAATAGCCTGGCTGCTGAAAGAAACAGCCAGCAATTAAGTCTTACATACAGACAACCTGACATAACTCACATAACTCTTGTTGATGCTGGAGATTAGGTTAGTGTTACAAATTCATGCTTTTCTTGCATAAATGAGTTGTTAAACAAATGAACAATCATTATGTACATACATTAGATTAGCTGAGGTCTCCTTGAGTGGGAAGATTAAAAGATGTGGTGCCTAGCTGAACCAATTTAAATGAACATTTATTTCCATGGCTTTTCTGGTGTATCTTGTGTATGCAACTCAAAAGGAGTAGCAAAGAGGAAATTTTTTTTTTTACTTGTTTTCCTGAGATATCAGGTACTTTCAATATTTGTTGGGCCCTTGAAGCTTTGACAAAAGTCATGGCATACTCAGGACAGTCTGGAAAAACCGTCAAAAATGTCTTCTCTCTGCCAATCCACTTAGTATGACACTGAAATTATGTCACCCAGCTAGGCCTTTGAGCCAAAGGGTCTCAAATCATGGATTTAATTGTCAGCCATCCTATTGTCATGTCCATTTTCTTTCTTTAGATGGTAGCAGGATTCTACAGGAGGAAAGACCCACCCTATACCACAGACACAGTTCTGACGTGCTGGGGCAGATTGTTACCTATTGAATCTTTGAAGTCATTTATAGTCTGGATAAGCCAAACGTATCTGTCTGGGAGTATATGATTTAATCAGCTTGAAGATTTATTCTTTGATTTTTCTATTAATGGGTACTTCAGAATGCCTATGCCTTAAGCCATTACATTTAAGCTCTGGTTAAGAGTACCATAAATTTGTATACAACCCTAACATGTTATTGGGTGGTCAGGCCATCCAAATTAGAGGTGCCATACTGTGGCTAGCAACCTACTCGTCCTTTTGATTGATGTTTTTCTGAAGAGATCATATACAAGGATGTAATTTAAAAATAGTAAGCCCTCAGGGAACACAAGCAAATGACAAACTGAAAAAAAAACCCCTCCAGCTGGCAATATTATAGCAGAACATGTTGACAGTTACAATGAATTTGTGCAGTTCAAAGCACATTCACTTACTTCCTGCACTGAACCTGACTTTGGGGGTAAAAGCCGAATAAGGGAAGGGAGAAAGATTTCACTGTCTTTAAGAAAGAGGCAGCGGTTGTTCCCTCCTGTTAAAACCTTGCATCCTGACTCCCAGCACAGCACTACCTGGTTACTGCTGTGTGTGGTTTAATTAGAGAGATGCAAAAAATATTATCAAGCATTGCTTCAGGTGTCAAGGCAGGACACAGTAAAAGAGTCTTCTAGACCTAAAATCACAAGGCCTAGTTATTTGACATACTTGGTTGGGTACACAGCAAGGCCTTCATACACATCATTTTCTGAAGGAGTTTGAATGCGTGTGCTGAACGTGGATCTGAACACAGGGTAAGTAAGTGCTGGACTGGACTTGCTTCAGCTGCTACCTCTTTTCTCCCCAATCCTTTGGTTTTCCACTGCCAAGCTCCTTTTTTACTTTTTTCTCCTCCATAGCACAAATGAAATTTAAGCCAGAATTTCACCTAAGTTTAGTTCCCTTGGGTTATCTTGCCAGCATATATGACTTCCCTTGTCCTTTCCTTGCATCAGGGCAGCATCAAGGCATGTGAATATCCATCAGCATTTGCCCACGGGACCTAGGCAGGAGAAGCAGGCAGAGCACAGCACTTTTTGTGGAGTAACACAAGCTCAGGGACATTCTTCCTATACTCAGAATCAATTGGTGACTTCTCTCACTCCTCAGCTTTGGGAGCGGGAGAGCTAAAGAAAAGCCTTTTAGGCAGATTCAACTTTCTTCAGACTCCGTTGCCAGCCTTTTTGGGAATCACAAGGCACTGAGAGAGTTGGGAGGGCATCTGACTCAATTAATTACAACACTGTTGGGGTTTAGGCTAAAATTCACATTGCTTTCTTTATGGCTCTTCCTGCTTTTTTTGCTACCAAAGGCGTCATATAGAGGCCCTCTTTCTGAAATTTAGCTTGGATCAGTTAATTTAGTCTGTGCTCAGAAAAAAACAAAAAAAGCTTCTTTCTTTGGGAAAAATAGCTA